GCTGGTAGGTTTGAGCTGCCAGCCTTCTGGGTAGCAGTCAAATGCCTTAGGCACTATGCCGCCAGAGCTTCCTATTATGGATAATACGTATTATTAAAAACACACACTTTAGTCATTGGGCTTTTTTTGACACTAAACAATTACAGAAAATATAGGGTGAGGGCAACTAGCTAAGAGAAAGTAAATTCAGAATTCTGAATTCACTATTAGTACCCATTGCTGTCAAGGCAATTCTGACTCACAAGACTCTATAAGACAGAATATAACTGCCCCATAGGGCTCAAAGGATATCATCTTCATGGAAACAGACTGCTACATTTTTCTCCTGTGGAGTAGTTGGTGGGTTTGAAATGCTGTCGACTTTTGGGTTAGGAGCTGAGTGCTCTAATCACGGTCACCACCAGAGCTCCTTTTGTAATTAGTAGAGGTATATAACACCAGGGCTTCAAACCATTTTAAGAGTTCAGTAATTGCTATCATAAACCAAGGACAGTATGTGTTGCATAGCAACCACATCTTTTGGTTGCTCATAACAAACAGCTGTGCCCCAACCAAAGATGATCGCCAGCCACACAGCTCTGAATGTGTGTTCTTCTCCAGAGTCCTGTCAATAATCCAATCGCCTGCACCAGGCTCCTGAAACTTTCAGGAGTAAAGAATGCAGCGGGGCTTTTTGGAGAACAACACACATTCAAAGCCGTGTGGTCAGCTGCCATCTCTGTGCAGGACACATCTGTCTGTTCCCTACTTCAGTCAAAATCCTAAAGGGAAACGGATTTGGTTGCTATGCAATGTATATACAGCCCTTGTTTACACTAGCAATTACTGAACCGTTTTGAACCAGTTCTAAGCCCTATATAAAACTAATGAGCCCTGGTGGTGCAAAGGTGAAGTGCCTAGCTGCTAACTGAAAGGTTAGTGACTTGAACCCAGCCAGCAGTTCCACAGGAGAAAGATCCGGCAATCGCCCCCATAAAGATTACAGCTTAGAAAATCCTGTGAAGCAGTTTTATTGTCACACGGGATAACTATGAGTCAAATTTGATGCAATGGCACCTAACAACAACATATAAAACATGGGCAATGATTTTGCAGATCTATAAAAAGATATGTGAGATGGCCTTGTCATTTACAGTGGCTCAGAACTCAAATCATTCTCTCAAACTCAGTAATGTAGTGCACAAATGTTTAATTTCTAGTATACAATGTTCTGGTAGACTTAACAAAGATCACAAAAGCAAAAACACTGAAGCTCTAGCTAGTACTAAGCCTACACATTTTTAACAAATATTGCTTATTAGCAATTTACAGTAATTGTCTTGCAGAACTTGCAGGTGCTAAGAAATCATGACAACAAAACTGCAGAATAAGAGGATGTTACATATACTCAAAAAAAGGTGACATATGCTGTGAAAGAAAAATTATGATGAAAAAATTCCATTTTAAACCAGAATGACTGACAGTTTACCTGGAACATCTGTGCTGTTGTTTAGAACTGCCTGACTTTTAAAACTTACAGCTAGCTGAAGCAGAGACAGAACAAAGCAGCGCTAGGAGTGCTGAGACCTGGGCACTCACTTCTTCTCTAGGCTTCAGTCTTCCCATTGATAAAGTTGGACTTTCTTGGAACTTAAAATCAACAAAGATTCCTTCTGTGCCTAATCAGTCTGACTGAGGGCATATTTTTAATACATGAAGTAAAGTAATACTAACAATAAAGGAGACACTATTTTGTAATGAAAGCATACTCTAAGAATTATTCCTGAAATCATAACCAGGCTTTTTCCATCTTGCCTCATCAGTTGACACAATTCTGAAAAAAGGAAGTATCCTTCTCATTAGACAATAGCCAAAGATATAAATCTTCAAAATCAGACATATAGAAGGTTCTTTAATGACTAATAATTATACGAAACAGATGACAACATACTAACACAAGAAACATTAACAAGTCAATGATAAAGGTGTCTTTTTAGTAATTTTTTTGTGGTGTGAAATGTGAAAAATCCTTCACTTTTTGCTAAATCTTTATCTTCCTCCCTGAAAAGAAAGAACTGTATTTGAGTATTCTTAAATATGTACGATGTTCAGATTAGTAAATTTCCTATAATTTGGGGGCATTTTGGATTGATATGTTGTTAAATTTGGGATCAACTGTTACAGATGGAAGTTAATAATGACAGTATCATAGAGAGATACACAGATCTTTTCCTTAATACTGGTCCTGAGTTGGAGATACTCCTCCTCCAGGATAGCATTTTCTGTTAGGATATAAGTTTAATATTAGGGTACTGTATTTTTGGTGTAGGGTATAGTAACTCCCAGAAAATGGCTAAATTTCATTTTTTTGGTAAAATTAAGGATTTCACTCTAGCAAACAATTTGTAAAATTTTCCCACTGACCTCTAAGAATAAACACTACAAAAAACCTGTTGCTGTCAATTCCAACTCATAGTGATCCTAAAGGACCTTCTGGTTATGAGCAGTGCTTTAACCACTCCATAACCAGGGCTCCGTTTAAAGAATGAGCATATATATATATATATATATATATATATATATATATATATATATATATCCACTCCAGATGAATATTAGACTTCATTTATTTCTTAACCATTTTGCCAGTACACTATAGGAAGAAAAGAGAATGGAACTAATAAATTTTGCTTCTTTCTTCAATTCTGAGGAAATACCATCCCACACAAAGAATCTTTCTTGCTTTAGTTCAAGAGAAAACGGACCTCTGCAGATAAGTTTATTATAAAGAACAAAAAGTGTTGCATTTGTTTTAGCAGCCAGAAAATTCAGAACCAAATTTACTGTCCAAGCTTTACTTGCTAACCTGAGTTGTCTGAAACCTTCTGTGCTATTTTAATGTCTTCATTCTGTGTTCTGTAAGCCTCTTCAAGCCCTTTAAAAAGAAGATAGGACATAAATTTCAAAACTAAAAATACAGTTACAACTGACTATAGACAATGTAGTTAAGTATATTGTATTTTTTTCTATTTTAAAGTAGAGGCTAAAGATTAATTTAGCAGCTATTTTTCTAATGGATATAATTCTACATAGAAAAGATGCTAATTTTCCTTTCATAATCATGAAGAATGAGATCACAGTTGTTATTTTTATATTAAGTATTTCCTATGCTATTCAAATGTTGGTTGGCATAAGTTACCTACTAGAAGGCCTACTCAACATAGAAACTGAAAGAACTTATTAGCTATCTAAACTGGCTCTGGTATTAGTTCACTGACTCCTACATTCATTAAGTCTTTTTACCTTTCTAAGTTATATTTTTAAAACAGAGGAAATTATGCTTTAAAAAAAAATTAAATCATGGCTATACTACGTGTAGGTTTTCTTATTTCCTAGGCATTGTGTACCTTTTTAAAACTAAAAAATGCGATTTAATAAACACATTTTGAGGGAGTGTTTTATATATATCATATTTAACGTTACAATTTTCACTAACCTGAGAAAATGTATCTACATAATATTTAAAAGAATAAAATCCAGTGAAACTCATTGAGAATTTACTATCAAAAACAGAGAAAACAATGATTTACTTCCTTTAAATGGCATATCTATATTAGTTATAAGTCTAACCACGGATTCTTCCATACATACCCTAAGGTCCAAAATCTCAGTGGTATAAATAACGTGATTAAAGAATCGTGTAACAATGTATATTTTAATATAGGATTTGTGTTGTGATTTAGAGCAATAAATATTACAGTGAAAAATTTATCACAAACTAAATACAATAATAAAAGGAAACAAAAAGCTTATGTACACATTACCAAGGCCTTTGCAATAAATTATAGCATACAGTTCCATCACAACATATTTGTATACAAAGTTGCTAATGTGAACAATGAAAGAAATCTTTCATGTAGGTCTTTAATCTTCATTTAATAAAGTTTTTACAGTATCAAATAATATCAAAAGTCTAAAAAAACACAATGAGTTTTTATGTTTATAAATTATTTTTATATACTATTAAAAAACAAGGTCAAAAGTGCCATTTTAAAAAAAGTGAAAGTTGTTATTCTTGATAAGAGCTAGAAAAATGTCTGTCCCAAGTAAGAAGCAATCTAAAGGCTTACGCAGTTTCTTAGGAGTTTCCCTTCAACTCTCATATAAACCTTGGTTACTATCCCATGAGATAAACCAACACAAAGGGAGCCAAGTAATCTTTTTACAAAACTTAATAGGCAACATAGATCTGAAGATGATAAAATTGCAAATAAACATAATTACAAGCTTCTCTTCAAGTGAACTGAATGAATTTTTGTTTACTGGTATCAATGGGGTGTCACCAAATGTGGGAAATTTCAAAAACTTCCTTAAAGTTTTTATCTTTCTCAAGCTTCCAGTTATAAATGGCAATGGTGTATGCATACAAAAGTTGTGAGAATTTTCAGTAAAATGTAAATAAGACAAAATATGATTAAAAGGTGATAAATCATATCTATTTCTCACAGAAAATAAAGACCAAGAATCCAAAATTTAAAAGGCAACAGTATAGAAAGAAGTCAATGAAAAACAGATGGATGAAATATAACTCTGGGTCTTAACTGGTACTAATCACAACATCTAGCTATAATTTGACAAATTCAAGAACAAATGCCTATACTGAAATATGTGTGGAACACTGGCCACTTCTATTTATGTTGTTGCTGTAAGAAGAAACTGACATGGTACAGTTGTTTTTGTGTGGTGTTGTTGAGTCAGTTCTGACTCACAGCAACTCCACGTACAACAGAACAAAACACTGCCTGGCCCTGCACCATCCTCACAATCTTTCCTATGTCTTGAGCCCATTATTGTAGCCACTGTGTCAGTCTATCTCATTGAGGGTCTTCCTCTTTTTTGCTAACCCTCTACTTTACCATCTATGATGTCCTTCTTCAGGGACAGGTCTTTTCTGATAACATCTAAAATTATTGGCTTATAAAACAAATTTAGAGAAAAGAAAAATGAAAGGAATTTAAGTGTAAAGAAAATCTTTAAGTTTATTGTGGATCAAAACATTGATAGAACTGTATCAATCAAGAGCAGTATTCCTGTTGCTAAAATTAATTGGCAGTCTGAGAGCTTGGCTCAAAACCACCACTCTCATCCTCAAATGCATTTTAATCGGTGATTTGTTTATACAACACCAAGCAATAGTTACAGATAGATGTTTGTTTTTTTCACTGCATGGAGGAAGTTCCTTGGTTGATTAACATCAATAGACTGCCTGAGATAATAAAAACTCCATCATTACAACAGGTTAATGGCAAATGAGCATCTTCCTATTTTTGACAGGCGAAAAGGGTTAAATGCTGAAAACAGGATGAGTGCTCTGTAGGCTGCATACATACACATTTAATCATCAAAGTCACCTTTAGCAGAAGATTAAAAATCGATGGATATGGAAGCTTGTGCAGAATCTTCTCGTCCCCTGACATAAATTTCACAGGGAATCTCCTCCATTACTCTGTCCTCTAGGGCCTGTTCAGGGCACTCATGTGCCTGTTTAAAAGTGTAGCTACTTTTTTTGAAGGTGCTATTAAATGTTTTCATTGGCTGTGGTTGTGCAAAATCATTTCGGAAAGGAAGTTCCATGGAACTGAGGTTGGTCCTGCTTTGTTTGACACTGGACGCTTGTGACCCACAGTGATGGTCATGAATGCACCGTGAGGCAGTGGAGGAGCGCCGCATCTTCTGGTAGCTATCCAGTTCCTCAGACAAGTCAGCAAGGTCTGCAGATATCTCTTTATCCCTTAGTGAAAACAGTTCATAATGAGGAGGATCAAATACTTCTTGGAATCCAGTTTTATTAAAAGCAGTTTTGCAAGCCATGACCTTTTTTCGAGGCTGTTTCACTTGTACTAAAATAGAAATAATGAGAAGGACCAAGACAATCCCTGATGTAATGCCAATAATTGTTCCATGAGTTTTAGTGATTTGTTCAAATAGCCCTGCTTTTTTTTTCTCTGTAGAAAGAGATAAAGAAACATTGAGATTTCAAAATTCATTAACATGAGTCCTGTCACAAATTTGTACGATATTTTAAGGCAAAGTGGAACACATGGGTCGAAAGCACCAAAGAAGATACAATTTAAATTAGGTTTTTAACCTTATCATTATGACTGCTGACTAAAACTACCAATCACAAAATAGCTAGACAGAATACAGAAAAGATAAAGGACTTGGTTCCTTTACTGAGAGGCACATGAACAAATTAAATACATGACTATAGAAAATGCCAAAATAAATACTCTTGTTCTATCAAGTCTAGTTTTCTGATCTTTGGTATAACTGACCAGCCATCTCTTTTAAGTATAGCCACAATATTTCCACCCTGGCCATAAAATGGAAAGACTAACTCAACCTACTCAGGTATATTATCATGATCTACTGTTTTTGAATGATTACCTGAAAATATTTCATGTCAAGTACTCAAGATAACTCTATCAAATTATATCACCTTTTGAATTTTTTCAGGAAAAAAGGTAGACTAAACTTCAGTTCTGTGACAATGATTTGACAACTAGCTTACAGACATTCAACTATTACCACTAGCTGTATTTATCTTTCAGAAGGAAAATACCAGAAACATACCATAGGAAATTTTATGGACCGAAAATAAGCATTTCTTAGAGTGGGTCAACTTTTACATTGCAATGCTGAATCCATTCCATTGGTTGATTTTTTTATTAAATAGGTAAATTAAATAGCATTTCCATGTAATTTTAAAAAGACAGACGCTCTAGTTATTTAAAAAATTATTTTGAGACATAAATTAGGTATCTTGCAATATAAATGGCTACCTTGAACAATAAAAAATAAGAGCAAGAAATAGCATGAAGCATTTTTGAACAACTTAAGAGATGAAACATACTTTGTAAACCAAAAATGGCTTTATGGAGAATAAACACTTTTCTTTGCTGTTACCAATATCTCAGAGCAGGTCTATGATGATCCACTTAAAAGAAGTTTAGATTATATGTCTCCATTTCTGCCAAAACAGAGTTATACTAAGTGTAATTGTAGAAAAGACATTTTAAGTCTTTCTTAATGATAACCAATAGTGACTCTTCTCTCAAAAAAGTTGACCTTTGATCAAACTCACCTTTACAATGATTTTCATCCCAAGGGTATGCACAGTTTTGAACACCATTGCAGACTAAAGAATTATTGATGCACATGTTGCTATGGCAAAAGAAAGTGCTGCCTGTGCAGGGGGCTGTAGGAAAAAAGAAAACCGTCTTGCTAAGAAAAGAGAACAGAGAGATTAAGAATCCATCTATATTTATTTTAAGCTTATTGTTAACAAAGTTGATTTCCTACATCAAAAGCCTTTCTTTGAATACTCTATACTACACAAATGAGAAGACAAAGGCCAATATTCTCTGACACCTTGACCCATATGAAGCTTTACTTGCACTAGACACTAAAATGCCGTTTTTATGTAATAATTTATGGATATATTTCCCATGGCTCTCAGAGAATTAATATATAACCTGGTAAAACTTCCGTAGTGATACTGCCTTGGCAACCCAAGGAGGGGTCGCTATGAGTCAGGGCTGACTCGATGGCACGTAACAACAACCAAGTTTTTCAAACTTTTAAAAGACAATAAAGGTATATGGAGTATCTAGCATGTAATTTCCAATTTGGTATAAGCTGTTCTTTCAGCCTGGAGTGGCTTCTCCTTTCCATTCCTGGAGACTTTCTACTGATCCTTCAACAACATCTCAATCGTTGCTCTCTTCTGAAGAGTGCCCCAGTTCTCCTTGGGTAGTCAGTCACTCTGGGTGTGCCTGTCATATTCTATATACTTCTCTAGTCAGCATTTCTTGCTGCATTTGTAAACACTTGTTACAATGGATTATGATATATACTAATGTTAAGAAATAAAGTTCTAAACTAACCATTTTCACTTCTAACATCATAATCAAACAAAATGTCTTTTTTGCCTAAAAATTTCTACACTTTGGATTTTCAGAAAATATATATTTGAGTATCACTATGTATCAAACAGACAGAACCCCCAAAATTTTTTATATTTTTAAAGTTTCTTTTCAAAATGGAAGAAACATCTAAAATCTTACTACACAGATAAGTAACTTCTTCCCCTCTCGAGATGGTCTTGAATGGGTCCTCATCCCTTAATGTTAGCTGTCTTTTAATGAATATATGATAACTCAAAAAAAACCTCACTGCTGTCAACTCAGTCCCGACTCATAGCAACCCTTCCTTGGGTTTCTGAGGCAGTATCTTTACAGAAGTAGATTGCCGATCTTCCTTCCAAGAAGTGGCTGGAACCAGCCTTCTGGTTAGTAGTCAAATGCCTTAGACACTACGCCACCAGAAGTCTCATTAAAATAACAGCCAAGAGACAACATTTACCCAAAAGCAAAGATGAAGTAAAGAAAACAGATCAATGGAAACAGAAATATCAGAATGGAAACAATGAGAATGCTGACATGTTATGAAAACAGTAACCAACATCACAGGACATTGTGAATAAAAATTGTTAAATGGGAACCTAATTTACTGTGTAAACTTTCACCTTCAACACAATAATATTTTAAAAATAGAACAACAGTCACGAGTTTAATATTTCTCTCCCTCTGAAGAGTAATACTCCTGAACTTTGTTTGCCCACTTGTCCCTCCCTAGGGGAGTCTCCCACTGCTGCTGAGTCAATTCCAATTTAGAGTGAGCCTGTAGGACATAGGACAGAGTAGAACTGCTCCACAGAAGTTCTAAAGCTGTAAATCTTTGTTACAGACACACACTGCCACCTCTTTCTCCTGTGGAGTGGCTAATAGGTTCAAATTGGTGACCTTATGGTTGGAGCAAGAGCTGGTGGCTTATAGCTCAGCCCCTTCTCTTATTTACTTTGGGAGTCAGCAGCCTGAAGGAAGCTGACCTTCAGCTCTGAACCTCTATGTTATTAATTTTACAGGTCTGGCCACCACCTGACTGTCTAGTTTTATGCCCATGGTTAGCTCCACACTCACTTCAGGCAAGCCTGAAATACTAGAGTGCAGTCTTATGATGCTTAGGGATATCTAACCATATTTTTCAATTACATTATTATTAATAATAAGACTGATAGTTTGGTATTCATCTTTCTGATCCCCCATCTGCACCTTAATTGTTTCTAAACATGATCTGGAAAAATGGGTATTACTTACTGGGTCCCCAAAAAACTACAAAACATAATCTGATAAATGTAGGTTAATAGAAAATAACCAAAAGTACATTGTCATTAGAGTGTAAACAAAACCTCTCTTTAAGGTAGGATCTCTTATAAGGTATTATTTACCCATATTCCTGGACAACAGATTAATAATCTGTGTTTAATCATTATGAACTAGGGTTTCTTTACCCCATCCCACACCATAAGCCAATGTGAGTTCAGGCATGGCTTTGTTACTGATATATGATTAAATAGTTTACACATTAAACTTTTATGCTTGCTTATTTACCAAGCACTTAGCCAATTCATTTTAATAACCCCTCGGTGACTGTGGTGACCGAACAGTCTGAAATAGCTGGGAACTATAAATAACTTGGGGACCAGTGCTGTGCAGCAGGCAGTGAAAACCAAAACAACCAACGGATTGGTAATCAACAGAAACTGTCTTTCAGTTCACTTGCAGACCTTTAAATATTTATTCTTTCTGGGACTCAGTTTCCACTCAATAAATGGGATGGATTAGAGTGTATCTCAGAGTTCTGGTTCTAAAATAAGACTATGGAACTATTGGTTTCAATCATATTGACACTTTACGTTCTTAAGCTGAGTGCAAAACTATTTATATACTAATGACTAATTCATTCAGAGACTGTTGATCTGTTAAAATGGTATTATTTAACATTAAAACAAGCATAAGTATTTTATGATTCTTAAAAGCATGACTGATGGTTTCAATGCTCATGATAAGGAAAACAGGTATTAGCTACATAAATAAGCCATCAAATTAAGAACAGAAAAGCCAATGAAGACGCATGAAGATATTTCATTTTACAAAATTGGCTAGTGTACTTACAAGTGTCACATACATCATAAAACTCCATCACAAAATGGATACACATTAAAACTTAACAAATGGTCAAGAGAAACAGACAGCATTTTGGAATGCGTCACTTCTAAAAACTAATTTTCTTTTCTGTTTTTATTTATATATCATACCATAAGTCTATTAGCTACTAAATGGTATTATACACTATATTCTAATTCTACTAGAATTATCAGTAGATAATTTTATCCATTTCACAAATGAGGATGCATGGAAGAGAAACTATTTTCAAGCAAATTGAACAAGGTTATAAACAGCACTGTAGGTTCTCAGTATTCTGCTTTCTGACTCAAACCATTATTTGCTTTTAAGCTTATCCACAGATACTTCGATGGCTCTTTATAGCTCAAAAGTAGAAACAGTATTAATAATGTCAAATTGTTTCAGAAAAATATAAATTACAATTATAGATACTTTAAGCTTCATGGCTTTTCATTGGCTTCATAGCATTTTCATTTTCAAATATGGCTGTCTTTATAATGAGTCAACATATCAGATACTGACATAGGATGTTAATGACATGCTTCAATTAAAAACTGTAACTGTCTCTTTAAATAAGGAATAAAGATAATAGCAAAAATAGTGCCAGTTGAGAACCATTTTCTACTCAAAACCTGAGGACTCTCTCCCTTCCCCCTTCATACTCCCTACTGGGTCACTGCATGGGAAAGAAGAGGAAGGCTGGGATTTCAGCTCCCTCTACTTCTCATGAGCTATGGCAATGATGCTGAAAGATGGTTCTGTCCTTCAACTAAGCCTATAGGGGCCCTTAGGCAATATGTCACTGAAAATCAAATTATGGATTTATTCTAACAAAAATATATTTTACTGGTTTCACAGTTCTAGTCCTAGAAATTATTTTCCTAAAACCATACCCTTTCTTAAAGAGCCAGGTACAGAAAAGTCTTCAATGCCTGGGAAGAAGTCAAACATATCTTGAACGATATTCTATACTGTGCCTTTACGTCAAATTATACAATTTTACTCACATCTGCAACCTATAATGAGTAGGCATGAAGTGAATCTCTCATGCAGAATTAGTCCATTTATATAAACCTCTTTTGAAATATTTTCATTCATGTATTCATAACAATTACAAATCATTAACAGCTTAGAGACGAACAAAACATTTCAGTAATTTGAATAATGTCAAACACATAAAAATTTCCTGGTTTGAGCTCTGAAATGGGCTTTTCACAGATTTTCAAATTGGGACTCGTGTTTTATAAAAATCAATTAAATCCCCCAGTTTTATTACAAGACTGGGCAATCTACTTCTGTAAAGATTTACCACCTTGGAAACCCAAAAGGGGTCTCTATGAGTCAGAATCAACTCGATGGAAGTGAATTTGGTTGTTTTTTATCACACACACAGAAATTTTTTTAGGTAATTAGAGATAAATTTAGAATATGGAGCTAAGTCTATTTGTAGCCTTACAATGTAGTCTTCCATGTAGTGATTAGTTAGTGTAAAGCTATCACTTGAGGGAGACTTTTCATCAATTTTACTATTGGAATTATACTAATGGAGAAATCCTGAGTATATATATATAGAAAATACCTTAACTAATAACAGAGAATTTCTCATGTAAGATTTACGCTAGGGCTGTCCAAAGTAAATATAACGTGATCCCAAAATGTCAGCTAGTACACACAATAAAAAAAGTAAACGAAACAGGCAAAATTAATTTTACTAATACATTTTACTTAATCCAGTATTATCTGTGCGGAAAAAAGTTAACACAGCAGTCCTGAGGCTGCTAGCTTTAGAAGGTACTGCTTATAAATTGTGCCTTTGTTTGTTATCTGGGAACATGGCTTTCTACGGTTCTCTAACTGGTAACAGTGGTTCACTGTGCCTAGTTTGTGCAAATAATGACATTTATGCTGATCACCTGCTTTCCCTCTGGGAATCTGGAGTTTTAGTACGTGCAAGGCAGAGGGTATCTTCACAACCATTCCCCAGAAAAATCTTGGTTGCTGAGTCCCTAACATGCTTCTTTGGGCAGAGAAACTGCACACATTACTGCCCTTTTCATTGCTGGGAAATTGCATGCTCGGTATGTCCCTCACGGAAGGAATAAGGAAGCCTGTGCAAGGATTTCTACAGATTCTGCCTGTCTTTTTCCCACGCTGATCCTGTTGTGTATTC